CCGGGGGGGGGGGGGGGGTCTGTGATTTGTGTGGCGATGTTGTAGAATTTCCTGCATCTTCTCTCTGTGTGTTTTTTCAGGTCTTGTTCATCGAGCTTAAACTTCCTCCCAACGGAGACGTGAAAGGTCAGGGGAACAAGAAGACTCTGGGATACACCAGGAGGGCGGCCATCAATGGGAACCGGATCCGACTCGGCAAGCAGTACAGCACCACCAAGGTATCCAATGGATATGGAATGTGGTTTTAGTTGATGCTGTAAAGAGAATGTTCCATCCCAGTATCATCCGTGCGAGTACAGAAATATCCCTGCCAGAAATCCAGTGAGCTCCTAACTTCCTGTCCTGAGCTGACGTGCCAATTCTTTTTGTCTGTTTTCGGTATCTTCCGGCCATAGAGGGATGATGCAGCTTTCATGCGTGCACTGTGTCTTTCAATGATCCAGCATTGGGCTCCACTCCTCATCATCTTACTGGTGGTGGGAGTGAAGAGTGCACGGCAGGCAATGTTGGTGAGAAGGGAATTCCTAGGAGAAAGGGGAAGGAGTAGGGATTCATCTGGAAATGGTACTATGGGCAAAATGCAGACAGTACCATAAAGGCCAAAAATGTGGTGCATCCCCAGATTCTTTCCTTCCCACTGGGTGCCGGTCTGTGTCCCCCAACCTGTGTCTGCACAGGCAGTTGGGATCAGAGTGGACACAGCTAATCCAGCTGCCGGTGCCCAGCGGGAAGGAGAGAAGCTGTCAGGTGGTTGAGCGGGGTAGTGCAGGGAGCCGTCAGGAGGGGGGGGTGCAGGCAGTAGAGCTGTCAGGGAGTGGAGCAGTGTGGGGAGGAGACAGCTGTCAGGGAGTGGAGCAGTGTGGGGAGGAGAGAGCTGTCAGGGAGTGGAGCGGTCCTGGGAGGAGAGAGCTGTCAGGGAGTGGAGCAGTGCGGGGAGGAGAGAGCTGTCAGGGAGTGGAGCTGTGTGGAGAGGAGAGAGCTGTCAGGGAGTGGAGCAGTGTGGAGAGGAGAGAGCTGTCAGGGAGTGGAGCAGTGTGGGGAGGAGACAGCTGTCAGGGAGTGGAGCAGTGGGGGGAGGAGACAGCTGTCAGGGAGTGGAGCAGTGTGGGGAGGAGACAGCTGTCAGGGAGTGGAGCAGTCCGGGGGGGAGACAGCTGTCAGGGAGTGGAGCAGTGCGGGGAGGAGAGAGCTGTCAGGGAGTGGAGCAGTGCGGGGAGGAGACAGCTGTCAGGGAGTGGAGCGGTCCTGGGGGGAGACAGCTGTCAGGGAGTGGAGCAGTGCGGGGAGGAGACAGCTGTCAGGGAGTGGAGCAGTGCGGGGAGGAGACAGCTGTCAGGGAGTGGAGCGGTCCTGGGGGGAGACAGCTGTCAGGGAGTGGAGCAGTGCGGGGAGGAGACAGCTGTCAGGGAGTGGAGCAGTGCGGAGAGGAGAGCTTGGCCTCCTGTGACAGACGGAGCACTCAGGATTACTATGTCCCCAGTTATGAACAGGAAGTGCTCTACATCACTTCCTGTTCATTCATGATTGTGGACATAGTAACTCACACTATCTCCACAATGTATGAATGAACAGGAGTACTCAGTATAGAAGATTCCTGTTCATTCATAACAGAGGCTGCAGAAAGAGATTGAGGGCTCTGTGTCCTTAATTTTTTTTTTTTGTTTATATATATTTTAAATAGGGAAATATCGGGGGTCTGTTTAGACCCCCGATATTTCCC